TATTATAAAATTTAAAATAATATATTTAATATAATTATATTATTTTATATGAATTTAATTATAATTTTATATAAAAATTATAATTATATTAATAAATTATAAGTTAATAAAAAGTATTATTAATTAAAAAATGTTTAAAATAATAAATATTAATAAATTTAATATAAAATTTATTATTATATTTATATTTTTATTATAATTTAATTTAAAAATATAATATATAATTAAAAAAATGAATTTAATTTTTAATGTTTTATTTTAATTATTAATTTAAAATAATTTATAATATAAAAAAAATAAAGAAAATTTTATTTTTAAAAATATTATAAATAATATTATAATAAATAATATATATATTATAATAAAAGTTAAAATGAAAAATAAATTTAAAAAAAATTATTAAAAGTTATAAGAAAAATAAAAAAATAAAAAAATTAAAAAATTTATTAATGGAAAATATAAAAAATGAAAAAAAAAATAAATTTAATATAAATTAAAAAATAATTTATTTTATTATATGGATTTAAAAAGGAAATATAAATTATTAATTTTATTAAGTTATATAAAAAATATATTATAAATAATATATAATAATAAATATTATTTTAATATAAAAAAAATGTTATATAAATTTAAAAATATATAAATATAAACTATAATAAAAAAATATAAAAATATATTTAATAATATTTAAATTATTATAAAAATTAAATTAATTAAAATAAATTTTACGGCGAAATATAATTATTTAAAATTTTATTATAATTTTTTTAAAAGTTTTAAATAAAAGTTTATTTTTTATTTTAAATAAATATATATATTTTAACATTTTATTTATAATTATATATAAATATTTAAAAAAAGTTATTTTATTATTAAAAAATATTATATATAATGTAAAAAAATAAATTAAATTATTATTATATATTTTAATATTATATAATTAAAAAATATTAATAAAAATAATTTTAAATTAAAACTTAAAATTTATATTTAAAATGTGGTAATTTTTATTTATTTATATAAAAATATTATTAATAATAAATATAAGTTATTATTTTTAAATTAATAAATAAAATAAACGGAAAAATTAAAAAATTAAATCGGTTATTTATTATTATTATATTATATCGGATATATTATAAGTTTTATTAATTTTTTTTTAATATAATATAAATAATGTTTTATTATTAATATTAAAAAGATTATTTAATAAAATAATATTAAGTTTTAAACTTAAAATTATATTAAATAATATTAAAATATTAATAAATATATTAAATTATAAAATATTATATAAATAATATTAAAAAAAAATTAAAATTATAATAAATTTCGCGTTAATAAATACGAAATTACGTTATAATTTTAAATATTAATTAATGTTTTTTTATATTAATAAAAATATATATTTATAATTTTATAAAAAATATAAATTATTAAATATAAAAAATTAAAAATATAATATTTAACGTATTAATTTATTATTAATTATAAAAAAAATTAAATTATTAACGTACGAATTAAATATACCGGATTTATAAAAAATTTATAAAATTATTTTAATTATATATTTTTATAAATTACCCGAAAATTTAAATTTATATAAAAAACGAAAGTTTTAATTAAGTTATATTATTATTAAAAATAATAATAACGAATAAAAATTATATAAAATTAAAAAATTAATAAATTATAAAATAAATAAATAAAAAAAAATTAATATTAAAATATTTAATTAAATAAAAAAAATATATAATAATAAACGATTTATAATATTTTAAAAAGTTTTTATTATAAAATGTTATAAAATTATTTAACGTTTATAATTATAATTATTTAATAATAATTAAAAATTTAAAAATAAAATATAATTTAAAAAAAAATTATTATTAATTTTTAAAAATAACGTTATTATTATTATATTTATAATTTAAATTATAATAATATTTATTTTTTTTATATTAATTTTAATAATATTAATATAATTAAAAATTATAACGTTATTAAAAATAAATATATATATTTTTTTTAAAATATATAAAAAATATAAAAAAAATTAATAAAAATATTAATATTTTTCGCCGCGTTAATAATAATTATTAAATTTTTTAATTATATATATTTAAAAAAAAATTATTATAATTTATAATTAATATATATAAAATTTTTTAAGATTTTTTAAATTTTAATAAAACTTAAAATAATTAATTATTTATTTATTTTTATTTTATTTTATTAACGTTTTTAATATAAATATTAAAATTTATTTTTTTAAAATAATTAAAATATTTAAAATTTAAAAAATTTATTAAATTAAAATAATTTTAAATTTTATAATTATAATTTTATTATTATTTTATTTTAATTTTATAATGTAAGGGTGAAATAAATAAAATCAAGTAGTAAATAATAAGTTTATAATTATTTAAAATTAAAGCTTAAGGATTTTAAAAAAAGAAGTTATTTTTAAACGTTAGTTTTAATATTTTATTTAATTTCTCGTATATAACACACGTGCTTTTTATATAGCCGCCACTTTTATCGCTTATTATATAATGACTTTATTATATATCTTAAAAAAAAATAAACCTTTTATTATAAAAAAATCTTTTAACTTATAAACTTTTAAGTTTTATATATAATATTTTTTTTAAATTTTTATTTTAAATTTTATAAATAAAATTATATATAAAATAAATTAAAAATTTTTAAATTATAATAATTATAAAAAATTTAAATTTAAATTAAATAAAAAATAATTAATTAAAATTAATAAAAAAATAATTATATATAAAAATTATAAAAATATAAATATTTATATAACGGTTTATATAATAATAAAAATAAATAATGTTAACCGCGTAATATAATATTATTTATTTTCGCCGCGTAATAACGTTAAAAAAACGCGTTCGAAAAAAATATAACTTAAGTATTTTTATAATTATATAAACCGTTATATAATTAATTATATTTTTATAATTATTAAATATAATTATTTTTTAATTTATTTTAATTAAATATTTTTCGTTTAATTTATATTTAAATTTTTTAAAATTATTTTAATTTAAAAACGTTTAATTTATTTTATATTAAATTTAATTTATAAAACTTAAAATAAAAGTTTAAAAAAAATATCGTAAGTTTAAAATAAAATAATAATTAAATCGCGGTTATAAAACTTAAAATTATTTTAATTTAATAAAAGTTTTTAACGTTTAATATTTTTATAAAATATTTATTTTAAGTTTTATAAATTAAATTTAATATAAAATAAATTAAAAACTTTTAAATTATTATAATTATAAAAAATTTAAAATTAAATTAAATAAAAAATAATTAATTAAATATAAATATAACGTTAAAAAATATTTTATATATTATTTAAACGTGTTAACGTTATTTTAATAATATTACGTAACGGAAATAAATAACATTATATTACGTAATTAATATTATTTATAAAAATACCCGATTTATATTTTTTTTAAATATATTTTTTTAACGTTATTACGTAACGAAAATAAAAAATATTATATTACGTGGTTAATATTATTTTTTAATAATAAATAATTTTAAAAAAATATAATTTATTTTATTTAATTTAATTTTTTAAATATTTTTAAAAAATTATTTTTTTATTTAATAAAAATTTTTTTAAAATATTATAAAATTAATTAAATATAATAATTTTAAAATTAAAAAATTATTTTTTTATATAAATTATATAATTTAAATATTTAATTTTATATAATTTTTTATATAATAAAATATATATTAATTTTAATATTTAAATTATTTTTAATTTTTTATTTAAAAAAAATAATTAATTAATTAATATATTTTTTAAAAAATTACCCCGATATAATAATTTTTTATAAATTTAAAATAAAAACATAAAATCCCCGTGCCGGGAATATACACCCTAAGATCCCGGAGCTTTCTGCTCGACGCGCGGACCACGTTGAAAGCGCTAAATTGCCCCAGTGCCACACTAGTCCAAGAACGCAACGCACTGGCCACCCCTGCACCTCCAGGTTCGAATCCCAGGCTTTGTAATTTTCAACACTTTTCCCTACTTTCCGCACTCCTTCATACGAAACCACGCATCGCTCTGCCGGCGCTAATTAACTATGCGCCGCGCTTCCCGCGGCTGCGTTGACCATTCGCAGTCTAATTGCAGTTCAATTAAACTGTAGGTCCAATTGCAGTTCAATTGCAGGTTAACTAGACTGTTGATTTAACTGCAATTGAACTACAGTTCGATTGCCAGTCTTATGTAAGTAAGCAAAACCCTTCAAGGTCTAGACCTTATTAAACTTAGCAATCAGCCAATCAAAACTTGCACACAAGACTTTGTCAAATCAGGCCCCCTTATCCCTGTTTTTCAACCAATCAACGATTTGCTGCCAAGCTTTTACAAAATTGGGTCCACAAAAGCCAGGAATGCACCCAATCAACGCTTGAATAACCGGGGTCTTATGCAAAAGCCCACTATTACCTTCCCTCATCCAATAAACGCTGGCAAAAAGTCGCACCGCCAAGCCCAAGGCCCGCAAATCCAAAGGCTGCAACCAATCAAATCCCATTAAGTCTCCACCCTTTCCCGATTCTAGCTAATCAGGAGCTCTAAAACTTGTAACTATACTTTCCTATTTAGGACGATTTCGTCCCAAAGAGAAAAAAAAACTCACCGACATAATAACCCTTCGTAAACTCAGGGCATAAGGATTTAAAAACTTTGCCAAGACTTCCCAATATCCATGGATGGTAGTACCGAATCAACCCAGTTATCTCCAACAGCTGTACGGGAGCATACAACTATGAAAGAGATCTGCAACCAATCAGAGACTACGATGCGGGGGAGGGGCTGAATGAAAGAAGATGCATCCAATCATCAATTGAAAAATGTCTTAGCGCTACGCTAGTGTATCGATAAAAGATCGACCCAAATAAAACGTCCGATAAGTAATTCGATGAACTTTAAAAGGCCACTTTCAAGCGTTTTGACATGAACTCACAGTGCCGACTGGGAATTTCTCTCTGAAGAGCTTTTCCGAAATAACCTCTGGGACCATATCCCGAGATAGCAACCAACGTCCACGCTTTCTTGAAAGCTCAGTATCGAAGACCTGCGACCATCGCTGCTCCAGACGTCCTATCATTCTCCTTCCATACGCAGGGTCCCTGAGCCAAAGTCGTAGAATGTGGCGCCTTCTCGCTCTGGGGTGTTTCTCGTCCTTGACATCGCTATCCTGGAATGCGGTCCGGCTATGCAATATACTCAGGTTATTGACAAAGTATAATTCTCCTTTCCGTGGCGCGATTCTGATAGAGTGTCGTTCTGCGGCAAAATGGACGGCATCCAAGGCATCTGCTTGTGCAAGGGTCAATCCCGGAATGCCAAGTGGGCGCGGCGTTCTCTCAGTTCCAGTGAGGTTGCCTCGAGCAAGCCAGAAGTAAGGGCCTTGATCGTCATTATAAAGTAGTGGCAGTCGGACATAATCTGAAGGCTCAGTTTCCCTACAACGCATTAGGTCACACCCACTATTAAGGTTACGGAATAAAACCTTACGTCTCCACAGGCCAATCACTCTCAGCAAGGACGCCTAGTACTTCTGGTCGTGTGGCAGCAAGTTCGTTGTAAACCTTTCCATGAGATGCCCATAGCATCTCACCACCCGCCATTGATGCCTCGATAGCATAAAATGCTAGAACATCTGTATCATCGGTATGAAAAGGCTTTCAAAAATAACAAGTAGTTAGTCTCTATCAATAAAGTTCCAAAAGATCAGTGGTGTAAACAAACAAGACTTTGTGCTGTGGAAGGGGCCTTAAGATCAGCAATGCCCATGTCCTCTCTATTGCAGATATGAACTAGGTAAGTCAGTATAAAAGCTGGTATAGAGAAACTAGCCGTGGAATGAGTAAGACTCACGGACTTGATCATTGGAGCCAGACTGGTTTCCACGAAAAGGTGCAATGTGACTAGAAATTCCAGCATGGATAATAACGTTGTCTTTCACAGAGTACATGTCAGGTGACAAACCACGGATTGAGGCGATCCCCTTCCCTTTGAATATTTCATGCGCGATACGGTCGAGGTGCCGGCCGAGAGTAGGGAGACTGAAATTCTCGCAAGAAATCTGGTTGAGAAGTATATTCTCCTCTATTAATCCAAGTTATTATCAGAAGCGTATACAGTTAGAGTGATACTAATTTGTGGGCATACTTTTAAAATTCCGTAGAGCTTCATCGATCTCCTCAATCTCAAGGCTAGTTAGATCGTGAGTAACACTTTCAAGATCTAACTCTTCCCATGACCAAACAGAAGGAGACTCAGCCTTCTGAGGAAAGTTCGTTGGCAATTTTGCTCGCTGTGTATCCCATGACTCTAGTAATGTCTGTCTTCGTAAGTATTTTTTCCAGTCAGGTATGTGAGTAGCCTTAAGATCTGGGAATGGGTTGATGAAAGACATCGTGGTGATTTCGGAATCCAGCCTATCTCAGCGCCTCGTGTGATTTTACTTATGGCATAGGCTCCTCTCATAAAATATTCTTGACAGAAAACTTAGGGGCGCGCAAAATTGTTGGAAGCGCGCTTTATAATACGGAGGAATGAGGCCCTTGAAGGAAGATATTCTCGTAAATCCGATTAACAACAAGCAGAGCCTCAGCATTCAACATCTTACACCTAACTCAAGATAGAAGATTGGTAATTGGTAACCCCCACGTTAGTAAATTGCGAAGCCACCGTCCGGCCTACAGAACCAATTGACTTATACACCGATATCACAGATCGCCCTATTTTCGTGACCCCGCTCGACAGACGTATTGGTGGCACATATGTTTCTACCAATAAGCCATAGAGATAAGCTCATAGAGGTATTTACGAAAAGAGGGGGCAGCATTTTCTGTTGTGTGACAGCGCGGATTCTAATCCCGCAATGCCCAAGATGTCACCTTGTTGCCCAACCTTGCCGGCAATTGTTCAATCCACGCCCTTTTGATGAAGAGACCGAAGATAGACAAGATAAAAATAGGAACAGAAGCAACGAAGAATACCCAAATACTGAGCGGGCCTTGTCCAAACTCGAGGAAATTCATGCCAAAGAAAGAGGTTGTGAAAGATAGGGGTATGTAGATCGACGCTACAACTGTGAAGCGGAACAAGGTCATGTTTTGGTCAATACTTCTTTTGGCCTGCTCCATATTGATCAGGCTCATAGATATAGAGATTGTACGTTCGATTCGTCTTAGGAGGTTGTGAACTCGCCTGAGCAAATATTCAAAATCTTCGATAAGCTTGTCAGTGGCCTTTCCCACGGTCTCTGCAACCCTCTCATTAGGATATGCCCAAGGCTTTTTTCCATGTGTACGTATTATGTCAAGTATGTCTCGTAAGCTCTCTACGCGATGCTCCAAAAATCCTTGAAAGTGTAGGAGCTGGGTATGAGAGGCTTCATAGTCAGCAGCATCTTTCTTTGGAGAACTTTGGCCTATTTCGTGCTCCTCAATCATGGTTGTCACCATGTCAAGAATTTGACATTCGGCGGATGCACACTGCAGGAAGATTTCGTAAATGGCATAGAACGGATTGTGAGCCATCCCTTCTGGATCAAGTTTCTTACCATATCCAACATGAATTTCTGAAAGACTTTGGCTCAGTTTTGCTTCAATAAGACCATGGTCATTGGGATTGCCAAAATCCTGCTTCCATGATGCGGTATTTAGGAGCTCGTCTCCATCAGATCTTGGTGTGGGGAATAGCTTCGAATCTTGAAATCTAACCCAAGGACCGTGATGTTTCGTGTCAAGGTCATCTCCACAGTCTGAGAGGACAATAACTAGAGAGAGTAAGCTTAGTTACACATAATTCTTTATAAGATGTCTCACGCACTAGTCCAAGGCTCTGTATCACGGTCGTGATACATGTAAACAGTTACATGTTGTTCGATACTGAAATATGTCTTATCATGGATCATGTAACGACGGACAACAGAGTCGCCTTGCTTCCAATCATCAGCTCTGCCGAGTGAAGCTCGGTAGCTTTCCATATCACGAGCAGCCATTCGATGCAAATGCTCAATGGAATGCTTGATGAACTGCCAATGATTACGCCAACCCCCAAGTGAGCAGATACGGAGATGAAAGACGTGACTTCTCCATGAAGGAAGTGAAGTCACTTGAAAGAAGCCCTCGCCTATCTGTGATAAAAAGTCTAAATGACGTCTCCATACATCAGGTGTGACTTGGTAAAGATGACCCAGTATAGCCAGCCATTTTGCAGATGGAAAGCCTCTCAGAAAGATGAGCCTCCCACTGCAGGCGGAGAAGTTTGAGCTCGATTCTATACTTTTCAGATCCGACAAAGATAATATAGGCACCATATCAGTAGCTATATTCGATTGTACCATCATATACCAGACACAACGCTCGGAAGGCTCGTCCACGGATTCATCGATGCGCATCTTTTTCGTCTTTGTATCGAGAAAATTTGCCAATGGCCGGTAAATATTACCGTTTTTGTCATGACGGGAGTAATGTTGAAGTCTTCGTATATAATCGCTAGCGGATGCGGATGTCATAATACCACTGTGTTGATCCATGTGAGTCGCACTAGATAAATGAAGTACAACCAACCATGTCTAACACGACGCTTTCCTGGGTACTTATAATAGTTAGGTACACATTCATCCCCGCATCGTAATATTTTAGCTATGGCGAAATTCCACGAAGTCATTGTTATCCATTCATTTATTAAATATTAAAATTGCAAATAACGAGTATAGGATTTAATAAACGAGGAAACTTTAATTTAAATAAAAAAAAAACCCGTTAACCGGTTAAAACATTTTACGTAAAATAATTTAATTTATTTTTTTTATAATAAAACGTTATAAATTTAAAACTTTTAATAAATAAAATTTTTATAAATGTTTTATAAATTATAATAAATTATAATATTTTTATTTTTTATATAAAAAATTATATTATATATTTTTTAAATTTAATTTTTAATATATATTTTAAATTATTTTTTAATGTTTTAAATTTATTAAAATATATTAATTAATATAAATATTAATTAAATATAAAATAATAAATATAAATATAAATTAATATATTATTTTTATTTTTATTTAAATAATTATATTAAAAATTTAATAATTAATTTAAAATTAAAATTTTAAAAAACTTATAAAATAAAAAATTAAATAATATAAATTATATTTAATTTAAATAATTTTATATATTATTATATATTTTTAAAATAATAAATTAAATATTTAATTATATAATATATTATTTTAAAAAAAATATTTTAAAATTTATTTTATTATAAAATTTATATTAAATTAAAATTAATATTTATTATATTATTAATTTTTAAAAAAATAAATTAAATATAATAAATTAATTAATAATTTTAATAAAAAAATTTAATTAATAAATGTTTTAATTAATTAAAAATTATATATTTAAATTTTAATTATATTATTAAAATAATATAATTTAAAATTAAAATTAAATAAAATTATTTTTATTATTATTATTATTATTATTATTATTATTATTTATTATATTAATAAAAATTTAAATTAAATAAAATTATTTTTATTATTATTATTATTTATTATATTAATAAAAATTTAAATTTTAACCGAATTTAAAAATAATAAATTTAAACGTTAATTTAAATAAATATTTATAAAATATTTTTTTTATTTAAAATTATTTTAAATTAATTATTATTATATAAATTTAAAATTTATTTTTATATTATATAATTAATATTAAAAATATAATAAATATTAAGTTTTAAATATTATTAATTTATTATTAATTTTATAAAAATATAATTTTTATTTAATATATTTTTTAAATATATTTTTTTAATATATTTTTTATTTAAATTAATTATTATATATATATATATTAATAATAATTACCGTTATTTATAAATAAATTTTTTAAAAGATTTTATTTAATATAATTAAAATATAATTTAATAAATAAATAAAATAATAAATTTTAAAAATTATTTTATTAATTATATTAATTAATACGTTTATTAATAATAAATTAAAAAATGTTAATTTAATTTTAAATATTATAATAAAATTATTAATTAATTATATAATAATATTAATATTTTTATAATTAATATATAAATAATTAAATATATTTTTAAAATATATTTATAAAACGTGTTAATAAAATTATAATTAATTTATTATTATTTTAAAATTATTAAAATAAAAATAATATTAAATTTAAAATATAAATTATATAACGTTATTAATTTAATATTAATTAATATATATTTCGTAATATAATTTTTTATATAAATTAAAATATTTTCATATTTATTTTTAATTTAAAATATATTTTTTAATTTAATTAATTATTTTTTTATTAAATTTATTTTAAATTAATTATAATTTTTTTTAATTTTAATTATTTTTATAAAAACGTTAATTTAAATATATTATTTAAATATAAAATTAAAGTTTTATTTTTATTACGTTAAATTTAAATTTTTAATTTATTATACCCGCGTTTTAAATAATTTATAAAACGTTATAAAATTTTTAATTTAAATAACGTAAATAATTAATTAAAATTAAATATATAAAAAATTTATTATAAATTTAATTTTAAAAAAACTTTAATTATTTAAAATATTTTAAAATTAATAAAATATTTAAAATTATATAAATATTTATATAACGAAAATTATATTATTTAAATTTAAATTACCGTCGTAATTAAAATATTATAAATTTAACGAAATTATATTATTAATTTAATATTATTTTTATTAAAATATTTAATATTTATTTTATTTATTTAATTATAAAGTTTTTTTTAAATATTTATTTAATTATAATTTTTTTTTAAAATTATATTTTAATAATATTATATTTTAATAATATTATATTTTAATAATTTAAATTTAAATATATAATTTTTAATTAATTAAAAATTTTATTAATTAATTATAAAAATTAATATAAATTAAAATATTATTTTTATATAATTTTATTAAAACTTTTTTAATTAAGAATAATGTTAACCGCGTAATATAATATTGTTTATTTTTACCGCGTAATATTATTAAAATAACATTAATACGTTCGAATAATATATAAAATATTTTTTAATGTTACGTTTACGTTTAATTAATTATTCCTCGCTTAATTTAAGTTTAAATTTTTTATAATTATAATTAATTAAAAGCGTTTAATTTATTTTAAATGAAACTTTATTTATAAAGTTTAAAACGGGATTTTAAAAAAAATATTAAACGTTTAAAACATTAATCGAATGGAAGTAATTTTAAGTTTTATAACCGCGATTTAATTATTGTTTTATTTTAATTTTATAATATTTTTTTTAAACTTTTATTTTAAGTTTTATAAATTAAATATAATATAAAATAAATTAAAAGTTTTTAAATTATAATAATTATAAGAAATTTAAATTTAAATTAAACGAAAAATAATTAATTAAAATTAATTAAAAAATAATTATATATAAAAGTTATAAAAGTATAAATGTTTATATAACGGTTTATATAATAATATAAATATTTAATTTATACCTTTTTTAAATGTATTTTTTTAACGTTATTACGCGGCGGAAATAAAAAATATTATATTACGCGGTTAACATTATTCTTAATTAAATTATTATAAAATAAATATTTTAAAAATTATTTTTTTTAAATAAATTTTTTTATAAAAATTAAAAAAAATATTAACCGCGTAATATAAAAATAATAATTCCGGTACGTAATAAACGTTAAATTTAACGCGTTTAAATAATATATATATTATTTATTTTAAATATATTTATTTTTATATAAATTTATATATAAAATTAAATATTTAAAATAATTTAAACTTTTAAAACTTTAAAAAATTTAAATATTTTAATATATTAATTTTTAATTAATTATTTAATTATTATAATAATTATAAAAATTTAATAATTAAATTTATTAAAAAACGTTTTAATTATTTAATTTATAATTAAATTTATATTATTTAAAATATTATATTTTTTAAATTATTTAAGTTTAAAAATTATAAATATATTTTAAATAATTTTTATAAATTTTTTTAAATTTTAAAATTATTTTTAATTTTAATTAAATCGTATATAATTAAATCGTAATTATAATAAATATAAATTAAATTATATATAAAATAATTAAAACGTTTTTAATTAATTATAATTATAAAAAATTTTAAATTAAAATAAAAATAAAATAATTAATTTAAAAAGTAATGTTAACCGCGTAATATAATGTTATTTATTTTTGCCGCGTAATATTATTAAAATAGCGTTAACGCGTTCGAATAATATATAAAATATTTTTTAACGTTATATTTGCGTTTAATTAATTATTCCTTATTTAATTTAACTTTAAATCTTTTATAATTATAATTAATTAAAAACATTTAATTTATTTTATATAAAGCTTTATTTATAAAGCTTAAAATAAAACTTTAAAAAAAATATTAAACATTTAAAATATTAATTAAATAAAAATAATTTTAAGTTTTATAATTATAATTTAATTATTATTTTATTTTAATTTTATAATATTTTTTTAAAACATTAAATTTAAATTTTATAAATTAAACTTAATATAAAATAAATTATTAACTTTTAAATTAAAATAATTATAAAAAATTTAAATAAAAATTAAATAAAAAATAATTAATTAAAGTTAATTAAAAAATAATTATATATAATGGTTATAAAAATATAATTAATTATATAACGGTTTATATAATTATAAAAATATTTAAGTTATACCTTTTTTAAACGCGTTTTTTTAACGTTATTACGCGGCGGAAATAAATTATATTATATTACGCGGTTAACATTGCTTAATTTAAAATAATTATAAAATAAAAATATTTTAAAAATAAAATTTTTAAAAAAATACATTTATTATTATTTAATTTATATAAAAATAAAAATAAATGTTTTATATTTTTTTCGAATTAACGTTTATTACGCGTTAAAATTATTATTTTTATATTATATAATTAATATTTTTTAAAATTAAATAATTAAATATATTCGTATAATTAATTATTTAATAAAATTATTTTAAAAGTTTTAATAATTTTATAAATATAATTTATTTTTTAAATTATTATAAAACTTATTTTATATATATTAATTATTATAATTAATAAAAATATATTTTATTTATTTATTTATTTATTTATTTATTTATTTATTTATTTATTTTAAAATTTATTTTATATATAAAATTATTTTTTAATAAAATAATATAAATTATAAAATAATTTTTTAAAATTATAAAATAATTTTTAAAATTATAAAATAATAATATTTAATTAAAACTTATTTTATATATGAAATTATTTTATAATTTTTAAAATAATTTTTAAAAATAAAATATTACCGTTATAATATATAATAATAAAATAAATAATTAAATAATATAAATTATATTATATTTAAATAAAATTAAATTATAAATAATTTATTTTTTAATAATATTATTTAATTTTTAATTATAATAATAACATTAATTTTATTATTTTAAATTAATTTAATTTATTAATAATAAAATATATTTATTTAAAATTTATATTTTTAAAATTATTTAATTAAACGGTTTTAATTAATTTTAATTATATTATTATAAAAAATATTAAAAAAACTTATTTAAATATAAATATATAAAATAAATTATATATTTATTTTTATTTTTATTAATTTATTAATAAAGTTTTTAATTATTTAAAAACCGTATATTTAAATTTAAATTATATTAATAAAATTTTTTTTAATTATTTAATATAAAAGTAAATTTTACGTTATATAATAAACGTTAAAATATAACGCGTTTAAACGGTATATATATTAAATATATTAAATATATATTTTTTTATATAAATTAATATATAAAATAAAATATTTAAAATAATTTTAATTCGTTAAATTTTAATTAATTAATTTACGTTTAATTTTTTAATAAAATTTTTATAATTAAATTTAATTAATAATTATTAATTAATAAAATTTATAATTTAAATTATATTATTTATAAATTTAAATTAAACGAAATATTAAAAATTTAAAATTATAAATTTATTTAAAATAATTTTAATAATTTTTATAAAGTTTAAAAATTATTTTTAATTTTAAATAAATAATACGTTATTAAATTATAATTATAATAAATATAATTAAAATATAAAATAATATAAATTATAATAATATAAATAATTAAATTTATTAAAAAATATAAATATAATTAAAAAAATAATATTAAATTTATAATATAATTTCGTTAAATTTATAATATAAGTGACGTAATATTATTAATCCGAAGTTAATTAATATATATTTCGTAATATAATTTTTTATATAAATTAAAATATTTTTCCGTTAATTTTTAATTTTATTTTAATTAATATATATTTTTTATTTTAATTAATTATTTTTAAAAATTTAATTTAAATTAAATATAATTTTTTATAATTTGTTAATTAATTATAAAAATATTATTTAATTTAAATTATATTATTATAAAAAATTATTTAATTTTATTATTTAAATATAAAATTAAAGTTATATTTTTATTAATATAACGTTTAAATTTTATATTTTAAATTAAATTTAAATAATTTATTACGTTCGCGTTTTAAATAAATTATAAAATTTTATTAATTTTTTATTTTAAATAACGTATATAATTTAAAAAAAAAAATATTAACCGCGTAATATAAAAATAATAATTTTAATACGTAATAAACGTTAATTTAAAAAAAATATAAAACGTTTATTTTTATTTTTATATAAATTATATAAAATTAAATATATTTTTTTAAAATATTATTTTTAAAGTATTTTTATTTTATAATTATTTTAAATTAATTAATTTATTTTTAATTTAATTTTAAATTTTTTATAATTATAATTAATTAAAAACGTATTAATTATATTATATATAATTTAATTTATATTTATTATAATTATTAATTAATTATATAAAATTTAATTAAAATTAAAAATAATTTTAAAATTTAAAAAAATTTATAAAAATTATTTAAAATATATTTATAATTTTTAAATTTAAATAATTTAAAAATTATAATATTTTAAATAATATAAATTTAATTATAAATTAATTAATTAAAACGTTTTTTAATAATTTTAATTATTAAATTTTTTAAAATTTTAAAAACTTAAATTATTTTAAATATTTAATTTTTTATATAAATTTATATAAAAATAAATATATTTAAAATAAATAATATATATACCGTTTAAATACGTTAAATTTAACGTTTATTACGCGTTAAAATTATTATTTTTATATTACGCGGTTAATATTTTTTAATATAAATCCCGAAAATAATATTATTAAAATAAATTTTTTTATATTTAAATTTATTTAAAATAACTTATTAAAATATTTATTATATTAATTTTAAAAAGTTTAAATGTTTTTTATATTAAATTTTTATTTTTATAAAATTAATTTTTAATTAATATATAATATTAATAAATTTAATTTAAAAATAATTAAAATATTAATAAACATTATTAAAATTATTAACCGAATTATATATATATTTTTTAATTTTAATAAAAAAAGTTTTAAAAATTTAAAATCCGAATAAAAATAAAAAAATCTTTTATTATATTAATAATAACTTTATAAAATAATTAATAAAAAATAATAAAATAATATTAAAATAATATTATATTATTAAAAAATTATTTATTTAAACGTAATTATTTTTTATTTTTTTATAATAAAAATAAAATTTTATTAAAAACCGGAATAATAATAATTAAATATAATAAATTAAATAAAAATTTATTTATTAAGTTTTAAATATAAATTATAATTTTAATATAAATAAATTAATAAATAAATTTTAATAAACCGTTATATAATATAATATTATAATATAATATTAATAGTTACCCCGTTATAGCACCGCACGCTCCTTACATAATATGTATTATATAATCATGTAAAATAACGAGCACTCGGAATAAAAAATAATAATAATAATAATAATAATAATAATAATAATAATAATAATAATAATAATAATAATAATAATATAATATTAATATTTTTTATTATAAAAATATTAATATAAATAATTTAATTTAATTTTATTAATAAAAATATAATTTATAAAATTAAAATAAAAATATTTTATATAAAAAACTTTCGATTTAATAACATTAAAAAAATTAAAAATATTTATAATTAATTTAATATTAATTTAATTAATAATATAATTAAAATTAATTAATTATAAAAATAAATAAAAAAATATTTATATTAAATTTATAACGTAAATTTTTTTTATATAAATTTTAATTAATAAAAAATAATTATATAATTTTTTTAAATTTAATATTATAAAAAATAATTATTATTATAATAAAAAATTTATATTTAAATTATAAACGTAATATTAATAAAATAAAAAAAGTTTTATTTAATAAAATATAATAATTTTATATAATAATTTTATTTAAAATTTTTTTATTTTATTTATTATATAAAAATATTTATATTATATATATAATTTTTTTTTATTTTTTTATTATTTTTATTAAAAAAATAAACTTTTATAATTAAAAAATAATAAATTATATTATTATATAATATAAATAATAAATAATCGAAATAAATTAAATTTTTTTAATATATAATTTTTATTTAAAAAATTATTTTATTATAATATCGTAAATTTTTTATATAATATATATTATATAATTATATAAAATAATAAATATTTAAAATAAAATATAATAATAATAATAATAATTTATAAAAAAAATTTAATATTTTATATTTTATAATTTATAATATTTTTTATAAAATATTTTAACCGGTTAATAAGTTTTTTTATTTAAATTAAAAAGTAATATTAATTACGTAATATAATATTATTTATTTCCGCCGCGTAATAACGTTAAAAAAACGCGTTTAAAAAAAGTATAAATCGGGTATTTTTATAATTATATAAACTTTTATATAATTAATTATATTTTTATAATTATTAAATATAATTATTTTTTAATTAATTTTAATTAATTATTCCTTGTTTAATTTATATTTAAATTTTTTATTATTATTTTAATTTAAAAACTTTTAATTAACTTTATATTTAATTTAATTTATAAAATTTAAAATAAAAGTCCGAAAAAAATATTATAAAATTAAAATAAAATAATAATTAAATCGCGGTCGTAAAATTTAAAAATGTTTTAATTTAACGAATTTTTTTAATATTAAATATTTTTTAAAAAATACGGTTTTAAATTTTATAAATTAAGTTTTAAATAAAATAAATAAAAAACTTTTAAATTATTATAATTATAAAAAGTTTAAATTTAAATTAAGCGAGGAATAATTAATTAAACGTAAATATAACGTTAAAAAGTATTTTATATACCGTTTAAACGCGTTAACGTTATTTTAATAATATTACGCGGCGGAAATAAATAATATTATATTACGCGGTTAATATTATTTAAATTAAAATACGAAAATTTTAATATATAAAAAAAATATATTTTAAATTTATAAAAAAATTATTATTTTAAAATAATTTTTTAAAAAATATATTAATTAATTATTTAATTTTTTTTAAATAAAAAAAATAATTTAATTATTAAAATTAATATATATTTTATTATATAAAAATTTATATAAAATTAAATATTTTTAATTATATAATTTATATAAAAAAAATATTTTTTAAATTTATAATTATTATATTTAATTAATTTTATAACGTTAAAATAAAATTTTAATTTAATATTAAAATAATAATTTAAAAATATTTAAAAAATTAAATTAAATAATATATTTTAAAAAAATAAATAATTAAATTATAAATTAATTAATTAAATTAATATAAATAAAATTAAAAATTTAATTTAAAAAATTTATATTAATTTTTTATATAATTAAAAAAAATTTTATTTAAATTAATTAAATAAAATTAAAAATATATAAATTTATTTATTAAAAAAATATATTTAATTAAATTAAAAATTTAATTAAATTATAATAATTATAATTTAATTAAATAATAAATTTAATTATAATAAATTTATAAATTAATTAAATTATAAAAATTATAATTTAAATAAAAAATTAAACGCATTAATTAATAAAAAACGAAATTTATAATTAAAAACCATTTATTAATTAACGCCGGTAAAACGGTTTTACAAGCCGCGCGCAGCGCGGCTTATAAAACCACGTCGCCGGCGCGCTTATTCCGCAGCTAACAACCTGCGGCGCGCAATGTTGTAAGCCACTAGCTGCGGAACAATACGTGCTTAAATGACTGAAAATATTATAAAGCCTAAGATTCGAACCTGAAGTTGTAACAACAGGATTAAATGACTAAAGATCTTAGCATACATAGGGTTACACAGCTGCCACGCTAATGAGATTAACGTAATTAAGTGGTTTATGCCAGCTGCCCGCGAGCCATTGATAAACGAAAGGAAAGGTTTAAAAATAGTAAAAGGAGGTGCTTAATCGAGGAATCAAACTATAGGACCTGAGCTTCGGCAAAACTTCGGCTAAATAAATTCGGGGATATTGTGTCCGCGGAATGCGGGGACCTCATGTAAATACCTGCCTGAGGTATGTAAGATTAAATCTATTTTCTATTCTTTATTTATCCATTTTGAATAATAGGTACCTAGGTGTCCACCTAAGGTAGCCTTTTTATTTTCCTTCATACCTGTTTTATCACTTCCACGCTCTATACCAAACAAAACTAAATTCATGGTAATTCGTCAATATTATCCGCACCTATGGAGTCTCGAGAACGACGACTTCTCCAAGAGGTCTGGCATCAGCGACAAGCTAATGAACAATCTATCCTGTAAGGCCATACTGTCATGTAGCCGGCCACGCTCATTATTTCGATAGTCTCGTATATATCCCTAATAAAGAACCATCTAAGGAATCAAGCGCACCTGTTGATTGGAGCCGCTTTTTGCCTAGCATCTCACGCTTCGATACCCTTGTCTTGGAATTTGACCGACATCTTTTACGTGATTATGATCTAGTTAATCTTCTTGATAAGTGCCGAAACCTTCTGGATGAGTTGTTCTCTGTGCATATACCAACCAACGTAAATGTCAACCGCATGAAAGAAATAGGCTGAACAGACTAACAATGCTCGCAGATTCCATGCCCACCCATCATCTTTCTGGGCAGTGGCCTAGGGGGGCTTATTATAAAAGAGGTGCGATCGCAAATATCCACCGTTATTTTTGAACTTATCTTCTAATTACGTAGGCAATTGCAACTGTTGGGGGAGACATAAACTACTGGCAAAGCCGGATCAACCACATATGGCGCATCATCTTTCTTGGCACTCCACACTTTGGACAACCTCATTCTGACAATGACAAGGACCCGATACGAGGTCTGAACTTGAGCGCCGAGGCCTTCACACTGCTTCACAGAAGTGCTTCCCAGTTCTTTGAGATTCTCAAGCAAATTGATACAGAAATACAGGTTCTTTCTGGATTTCAAACATCCCCTAAGAAGAAACTTCTATGGCTTAAGCCTGAGAAAAGACATTCTATTAAAATGGTACGTTGCTGATCTCTCATGTAATTTCCTGTAGCTCCTGGAAATGTTTATTTTAACGATTAGAGCAGATTGTTGATCAGTCTCGTGCCCGAATTGGTTTCAAGAACGAGATTGTTTCTCCTATAGACATGGACCTACCAAAAGTTTTGGACGGAGTTACACCGTCCACATTTCGAAATCTGATAAATGAAAATATTGTCAAGGCAATTGAAGATTACCAAAAATGGGTAGTCACAGCTGTAATAGATCCTCCTATATGCAAAACGCTAGACGATACAATTTCAATAACTGTCGTTGCCTACAGAGAACTTCAACCCTAGCATTTCCAGGCGAAGGAAACTCAAGTGTTGCGATTCGAACTCCAAGTACAAGTACAAGTTCAGGTTTGTCCCATTTAATAACTGAAACAACCACATGTTCTAAAAAGCCCATAGGTTTAATTAGCAGCACAAACGCCAATTCCGATGAACGCCAACCACAAATCATTCGTACTCCATTGATTTACCCGAACAATTTCCTAAATCAGCAACCTAGCCACTTCCAGTCGCGTCCCGAGCTGCGATCTCAGATTGAAGATTCTCTGATTCCTTCCGATACGCAGTCATGTACTGGGTCAAGCCTACGTACTTTCATAATCACCGGATTAGGGGGGATGGGGAAGACGGAACTGGCTCGTGATTTCGCTATTACCCATCAGCACAAGTTCGAATTAATCTTATTCCTAGTGGTAGATCACAAAGAGAGGATCTCGCAGCAATACACTAATATAGCCACTCGTCTTGGCCTTGTGAAAAGGGATACTACAGACGCGGAAGATGCTAGGGAAAAACTCAAGGCATGGTTGAGAAATCCTGTCAGATACTTGGGTAGTCAGAATCCCGGCTCCGAATCTGCCACCGATGGTGCTGTACCAATAGGGGAGGGCGAAAACACCAAGGTTAGTTGGTTATTGATTTTCGATAATGCTGATACGCCCTTAGTATTGAAGGACTTCTGGCCTACGATGGGGCTTGGATCTGTTTTGGTCACAAGCCGAGATGCAACGACGGCGACTCACCATTTCCCTACCTGTAACAGTTTGGTCCTGAAACCACTCGGAGCACAACAGGCCATCGCTCTTCTAAAAGTGATATCTCGATCCAACAGCGATACAACAGAAAATAATAATGCAGCATTGGCAATCACTCGGCGATTAGACGGGCTTCCCTTGGCTATATACCAAATCGGGTCGATTATCGCAAGGCTCCATCTTTCTCTGACTGAATTTGTCCGTGATTACGTTCATGCCTTCCAATACTATCAACTTTACGACGAACGACCTCGCTTTGTTGAATCGCCTGACGAATGTGGATATGAGCACAGCATAGGATCTGTGTGGGCATTTGAAGAACTAGAACGTAACGACAAACCAGGATTGCAACTTCTCAACGTCATGTCTATGCTTGATCCAACTTGTATACACGAGGAGGTCATGTTCCATAGCCTAAATGACGAAACAAAACCTTCTTATCCCCATACGAAAGACGAATACCACCACGCCGTTGCAAGACTCATCGAACGGTCTTTAATACAGAAAGATTCTGGGGATGGCAGTGCGTCTCTATGCCTTCACCGGCTTGTACAAGACGTGGCGAGAGCTCGTATGGCTAATAATATTACCGAGTTAATGTCTTCTTTCAATATCGCATGGGGAGCTGTGGCAAAGGTTTTCCCGTATAGGGATGAAGAAATGAATACCGCAGGGTCAATAAAGCGCTGGAAAGGTTGCGCTAGCATGTATCCGCATGTAGTGCGTTTGAGCCAAGTGGCGCAAGAGATACGGGGTACCCATCCGGACCAAACTTTTCCCCTTGATTTCTTAAACCTACTCTATGAGGCATCATGGTAAGTACTCTAGATCCTCAGGTATAACCAGCTAACAGATTCACAATAGGTGGCAATGTGAAAGAGGAGATGCCGCTGAAGCAAAACCACTTGCTGATCTCGGGAGGGATATCTGCGACTCACTCTCACCACCGGACCCAAGTAATACTCGTCCGGGTATGCGCGATTCACTTCAATCTTGCCAAACGAAATTTTGGGCTTGTCAGATTATAATGGCTTTGAATATTGGTGACTCTAATACCGCTTTTCACTACTCTCTTTTGCGATACCAATGGGCAGAGAGAGAACATAAATTTCATGGCAAGATCAACGGTTTTCTCACATCCACCTATAATACCCTTGGTCAATCCTACGCTTTGATCCGTTCTTTTGATAAGGCAGTTGAATATCTGGAAAAATCTGCGGAGCTGAGAAGAAAGATGCCTGACTTCCGTGAGGATTGGCTCTTTTCTCCATTCTACCATCTCGGAGTCACGTACTCTTGCATGGGGCGGTTCGATGATGCGGCTAAATACCTGCAAAAAGCCATCGCCGACCGTGAAGCTCACCTCGGGCCTAGTGATCGGGAGTCAAGTCGTACAGGTTCGCTACATTACGCGCTCGGGAACGTCTACAGTGCTCAAGGCTTCGGTGATCAAGCTTACGCGGAGCATCATAGGGCCTATATGCAATGTCGACAGACAGCTGGAGAGACAGCGCTTGCAACACTGAGGTGCTCGCAAAAGCTTGCGGAACATTACGAACGGTATGGGTATGATGGCTCGTCACGGTAATTTTTCTCCACAGTCCACTTTTTTACACCTCCTAATAATCATAGGCAATATCTACAACCCATTCTGGATTGTTGTGGTGACAGATCGGATCGTAAACGTGAAGTAGCACAGGCTGCATTTCTGCTTTCGCGAATCTTAGAACGGCAGGGCGACTATGAGGGAAGCAGGAAACAACGCGAACGGGCAATAAGTATCTACTACAGCCTGCGTCCAGGAAACAAGCGAATGAGCGACTCGCTTACGCTAAGCGATATAAAGCAGCTTGTATACTATGATTGTTTGCCTTGAATTTAAGAGAGGTCATGTCATGACGGGATGAAACAAATGTCTTCCAAACTGCCTCAATCTTACAATTGTCGTGGATCTCTCACAAGTCGCCCAAGGTTGTGGGAAAAGGAGGCGAAAGGTGGTTGTATGGTTGAGGTTTCTAGAGTCAACAATGAGATTTGACGGAGGGCGATAGCCAGATAAATGAGTGTGTCAAGCCTCCTACGAAGATTCCCGTGAGCTAGGATCGGCCTGTAGAGGAGTTCCCTAGCAGCATCCCTCAAAGCTCAGGTGGTTCAGAGATAGACAAAGAGACCTTTCCCTATATAGTAGGTCTCCTCGTGCAACAATGGAGTCTTTTCCTTGTTTCTAGGTTTGCATCGTGACAGAGTGCACATGCATCATGGTCGAGGATCCTTCTCATCCTTCCTCCTTCCCTCCTTCCCCGGTCATATGAATCATAACTGATATGCTGTGTGATCAATATAGCATTTTGAATGGCAAGACAGTCACACCAATGGGGATGAATCGGCGTGCAACGTCGTTTTAACTCGCCGAGTGAACCAGTTAGCAAAGATGCCAGTGTGAAGATATTATTGAGATGATCAACTGAGAACTGTATCTAAGATTGTGTTTCTCTACACTCATACTTCTTCGTTTCATCTTCAGATAGGTAAGAACGGACACTCCAACATATATCGTATAATTAGGGCTAGTAAAAGCGTTGGCAAGGTCGTCATATAGGCTGGCTTTGATATAGGCGGTCAGACGGACATATTATTACACGACGAGAATATGCGATGTCACCGATTATGACGGCGCTTGAAATGAAGATAATATTGTAGCTTATTAGGCATGAATAAGTTTAACGATCCTTCTTTCTTCTTTCGAAGAAAGGTAATTGTTTTAGTTCCGCAAATCCATGCCGCACAGTACATTTGGTTTCGGTGGAACATTTTCAGCACTAGCCCCTAGCACCCTAGACCTCGCGGTGCTAAAAGAGCCCTGGAGGCTGGAGCCTATGGTGTCCACTATTCTCTTAGTCTTTACATTTCAGCACTCGGGGAGCGAACCATCCTAATCGTCCGTAATAGTACCGGCGACTTATTGCTTAAAAGAGTTCGTACATTTTTTTTTAAATTTAATTAAATTAATTTATATTTTTAATCGATTTATTAATATTAATATTATTAAAATAATCGTTGAATTTTTAAAATATAATTTATATAAATTTTTTAAAATTATTATTTATTAATAATTAATAATTATATTATTTTAATTTCGGCGGAATTTTTTTTTAAGTAATATTAACCGCGTAATATGCCGGGGTTTATTTCCGGCGCGTAGTATAATTAAAATAACGTTAACGCGTTTAAACGGTATATAAAATATTTTTTAACGTAATATTTAAATTTAATTAATTATTTTTCGTTTAATATTAATTTAAATTTTTTATAATTATAATAATTTAAAAACGTTTAATTTATTTTATATATAATTTTATTTATAAAATTTAAAACGATTATATTAAAAAAATATTAAACGTTAAAAAAATTAATTAAATTAAAATAATTTTAAGTTTTATAACCGTAATTTAATTATTACTTTATTTTAATTTTATAATATTTTTTTTAAACTTTTATTTTAAGTTATATAAATAAAATTATATATAAAATAAATTAAAAGTTTTTAAATTATAATAATTATAAAAAATTTAAACTTAAATTAAACGAAAAATAATTAATTATAATTAATTAAAAAATAATTATATATAAAAATTATAAAAATATAAATGTTTATATAACGATTTATATAATAATAAAAATACCCGATTTATATTTTTTTCGGACGCGTTTTTTTAACTTTATTACGCGGCGAAAATAAGCTTTATTATATTACGCGGTTAATATTATTTTTTTTTTTTATAAAAAAATTATTTATTTATTAAATTTATTTAAATAATTTTTTATTAATTATATATTTAATTAAAGGAAAATTTACGAACGTAAAATTTAAAATTTATTATAAATAATTATTAAATTTCGCCGTTAAATTAATATATAAAAAAGTTTATTTTTTTAAATATTTATATTAAATAAATATTTATTTATTATTATTTAATATATATTTATAATAAAAAATAATACCGGTATAAAAAATTAATAAATATAATATAAATTAATAACGTTTAAATTTTAAATAAAAATTTTTATAATTATATTATATATATTTATTTTTAATAATTAACGTAATTTTTTTAAATATTAATATATTAATTATAAAATTTTAATTTACGAAATTATTAACGAAAAAATTATTTCGAATATTATTTTTTAAAAATCGTTTTTTATAATTTTATATTTAACGAAAAAAAATTAAATTAATATATATTTATAACGCGTATAAAAAATATTATAATATTAAATCCGCGTTAATTAAACGTTACGATTTTTATAAAAAATTTATAATATAAAGTTTTTAAAAAATTTTTTTATATTATTAATTTTAATTTAATATTCGGGTATAAAATAAAAAAAAAAACGAAAAAATTTTAATATTAAAAAAATTATTTAAATTAAATTTATAATAATTTTTTATTCCGTTAATAATAAATTAAATAAATTTATAAAATTTATATTATTTTATAAATTATTACGTGTTATTTTAATAATTTTTATAAATAATATAAAAATTAAAATTAATCGTATAAATTTTACGTTTATATTTTTAACGGGAAAAATATATAATATAAAAAAAAATTTAATTTAATAAAAAATAATTTAAAATTTTTAAAAATAAAATTTTAAATTTTTTTTTTAATAAATATTTAAAATAAACGTATAATTTTAAAAATTATATAATTTTTTATAACGATAAATAAAATAACCGTAAATTATTAATTTATTAAAACCGTAAAAAAATCCGTGCGAATAATAACGTTTTTATTATATTAATATTATATATTTTATTAAATTTTTTTATAATTTAATAATTTATAAAATTTATTTTTTATTAATAATTTAATAATAATTTAATAATAATTTTAAATTTTATTTTAATAAATATAAAATATAAATTATTTTAAAATTATATAAATTATATTATATTAAAAATAACGTTAAATTTATAATATTTTAATTATAATAATAATTTAAATTTAATTAATATATTTTTCGTTATATAATTATTTATATAATTTTAAATATTTTTTTTAATTTTAAATAATTAAAGTTTTTTTAAAATTAAATATATAATATTTTTATTTTAAATTAATTATTTTAATAAATTTTAAAACGCGTTTTTAATTAAATTTAATTATATTATATATATTTAAAAAATAAACGCGTTATTTAAATTTAAAATTTTATAATTTTTTATAATATATTTAAAAAATAAATATAATAAATTATTTTAAATTAAAATTTTAAATTTAATAATTAAAATAATAAAAATTTTAATTTATATTTAATATTAAAATAATAATTATATAATTAATTATTTCGAACGTAAAAATAATTAAAATTTATTTAAACGTAAAAATAAATAATTTATTTTAATATTTTACGTATTTTTAATAAGTAATATTAAATTTATAATATAATTTAATTAAATTTATAATATAAATCACGTGACGCCGCTAGTCCGGGGTTAATCGGTACACGTTTCGTAATATAAAATTTTATATAAAATTAAATATTATTTTAATAATTTTTAATTTAAAATATTTTTTTTAATTTAATCGATTATTTTTTTATAAAACTTTTATTAAATTAAATGTAATTTTTTATAATTATTTAATTAATAAAAACGTTATTAAATAAATAAAATTATATTATTATAAACCCCGATTTTATTTTATTATTTAAATGCGAATTTAAGCCGTTATTTTTTTAAACGTAAAACTTAAAATTTTAATTTAAAATAATTTATTACGCCCGCGTTTTAAATAAATTATAAAACGTTATTTATTTTTTAATTTATATAATATATATAATCCGACGGTTTATACGATGTAATTAAAATTATTTAAATACGTATTCGGAACTTTATTAAAATATATATTTTAAAAATTTAAAAATTTATTTTAATTATAAAAAAATTAATTTAAATAAAATATATTATAAATTTAATTTTATAAAAATTTTAATTATTTAAAATTAAAAAAATATTTAAAATTATATAAATAATTATATAATAAAAATTATATTATTTACGTTTAAATTAACGGCGTAATTAAAATATTATAAATTTAATAAAATTATATTATAAATTTAATATTATTTATAATTAAATAATAAAATTAAATTTAATTATATAAAAATATAATTTAAATTAATAAAAAAAAATTAATTAATTTAAAAATTATTAAAAATTATAATAAATTTAAATTAAATTTAATTAAAAAATAATTAATTAAGAAAAATTTATTATTAATTAAAACGAAATTAAAAATAAAAAATATTAACCGCGTAATATAAAAATAATAATTTTTATACGTAATAACCGTTAATTTAAAAAAAATATAAAATATATATTTTTATTTTAAATTTTAAATAATTATAATTAATTAAAAACGTATAAATTATTTAATTTATAATTATAATTACATGTATTATAATTAAGATATAATTACGTAATATTTAATTAAAAATTTAATTTATTTTAAAATTTAAAAAAAATTATAAAAACCGTTTAAAATAAATTTATAATTTTTAATTTTAAATAATTTAATTATTTTAAATCCGCGAATAATTTAAATTAAATTATAAATTTTATTAATTTAAAATTATTAATTAATTTTAATTATAAAATTTTTAAATAAAAATTAAAAATAAAATAATTAATTAAAATTTAAAAAATTAATATATTAAAATTTTTTTAAATTTTAATAAATTTAAATTATTTTAAATATTTAATTTTATATATAAATTTATATAAAAATATATATATTTAATATATTTAATATATATATTATTCGAACGCGTTAAATTAACGTTTATTACGCGCCGGAAATAATAATTTTTATATTACGCGGTTAATATTTTTTTTAAAAATTAATATAAAATTTTATATAATAAAAAATATATTAATTAATTTTAAATTAATAATATTA